AATTCAAAAAATAAAATTGTGGGCATAAAATAAATACATTAAAATGTTTAATGTTTCAAATAAAAAACTGTAAACATAAATTTGATGAAATACAAATGAAAATAGCATTTTTAAACTTTTGCATGGTAGAACCAGAAGCTGCTGTTCATATTAGTGACAAACAATAACAACACCTCCCCAGAGCAGTTGTGTTCTTGTAAGACCTGCTTGCATAATTAGTCATTATTGAACACAATTTTGTATTTTATTTTTATTTTATTGTGTATTTCTAAACAATGTTTTCAAAATGATGCTTTAAGCCTTGGTTTTTGTATTATATTTTGACAACATAGTTTTGGTAAACTTTCTTTTACTTGTTTTGACTACGTTGTTAATAAATATAACATTTTTTTGGTTAAAATAATTTTGTCAAATAAACTTTTTCTTTCCATTATGTGTGTGTAAATGTGTTATAGAGCACATGTAAATCGGGGCTACTCTAAAAAGAAAAACCTGTTAATCTGGTAAATTCTCAGCATTGTTTACATCATTTGAACAGAACCATCCCTTTGAGTGGACTGTTTCAAGATGGCGTCGCGCTTAGCATATCTTGGCCCCAGGCTCACAACGAAACCGGATGTTGAAATCACGTGATGCGTGACACCACGTCGACTTATTTTTATTTTAATTATTCGAAATAAATATTATTAATAAAATAAAATAAATAAAGCATTTAGCGTCTTTTCTGAGGAATCTAGAAAAACAAAATAACAAACCGGTAGTGGGTTTCACCCTTTTGTCGACGACGTGACGTCATATCAGTGCGACGGATTTTGGGAAACAAACAAACCAGTGGAGAATGGAGGAGAAAAACAACACAGTGAAGTCCCTCATAGTTAAACCTTTTAAAAGCAGAACACATGAGGAGAAGGTGAAAGTGAAGGAGCTTGGACCGGACCGACCGGACATTAAATTAGAGCAGCAGACGACGGACAGAGGCAGAAGTTACACTCGGACTTTCTCCAGGACGTGGTTTAGCATCAAGCCCTGGCTAACAGCATGTAGCGAGGCTAATGCTCTGTTCTGCTTCCCCTGCCTGCTGTTTAAATCTTCAGGAACAGACCCAGCTTGGATTAAGACAGGTATCACTGATATAAAACATATTTCACAAAAAACAAAGAGGCATGAAAGGACTGTGAGCCACATGGAGAATGTTCTCAGGTTAGCCACGTTTGACAAAATAAACAGTTCACGTCAGCTCGATAAAGGCTGCAGAGTTAAGGTTCGTAAGCAGCAGGATGTTGATAAAAACACTAACAGGCTGATTCTGTCTAAAATAATCGACTGTGTGAAGTTCTGTGGAGCTTTTGAACTTGCCCTGCATGGCCAGGATGAAACTAAAGACTCTGAAACTCCTGGTGTTTTTAGAGGTTTGGTGGATTTTGTAGCATCACTGGATGCAGTTCTGCAGGAGCACCTCCAGACTGCTGAAAGAACATCCAGAGCTGTGCAGAACGAGCTCCTCGACTGTATGCTGTTGGTCCTGAAAGAGCACATCATCGATGAAGTCAGGACTTCAGACTTTGTCTCCATCCAGGCTGATGAAACCACAGACATTTCCACTCAGCGTCAGCTGGTGCTGCTGATCCGCTACGTTGATAAAGCTCATCGTGTCCAAGAGAGGTTTTTAGAGTTCATCCCTCTACAAAGTGCAACACCTGATTCCATCGCCACAGTTCTTCTGGACAGGCTGAGCTCCATTCTCCCTGAAGACCAGAAGCACAAGCTCATTTCACAATCATACGATGGTGCAAGCGTGACGAGAGGAGCCTCAGGTGTGCAGAAGAAGGTCCAGGAAGTGTATGTGAATGCACACTACGTTCACTGCTACGCTCACCAGCTGAACCTCATCATGCAGCAGGTGACGTCTCACATTCCTGAAGTGAGTCAGTTCTTCTCAGACCTGGCTGGATTCTCTGCCTTCTTCTCAAGGTCCCCGAAGAGGCGCAGCGTGCTGGATAAAGTGATGGCTCGCAGACTCCCGGGAGCCTGCTCTGTGGGCTGGGACGTCCACAGCCCAGCTGTGAACACTGTCTTTGAGCACAAAGACGACCTGCTCCAGTGTTTCCAAACCATCAGAGACTCGGAGGAGTTTGACCCCACCACTGTGAGAGAAGCTGGAGGATTCGTGAGGCTGCTGGAGGACGACGCTTTCAGCTTCTTCCTGAAACTGTTCCATCTCATCATGCCTCATGTGGACATCCTCTCCAGCCAGCTGCAGAAGAGGACCATCGACTCTGTGTTTGTTCACAGCGTCATGCAGCAGTTCACTAAGAACATACAGAAGTGCAGGTAAATTATTCTGTGCTGTTTGATTTTAATTCTATGATTTGGTTGATTATAGTATTTTATCAGTTATATACCAGGATCATAAAAACACTTTACCTTCAAATATCCAATCACATTTTACCAAAAGCGAGAGTTGTTATAATCTCAAAGGGATAAAATGTTTGTTAAACTTAAGTTTAGAACCAGTTTGAAGGAACGGAGAACTTCAGTCCAGGGAATAAGATTATGGAATAATCTGGAAGATGACATTAAAAATGTCAGCTCAATGGGCCTCATGCAAGAACATGTTCATATTCTT